GGGAAATCTCCCTTTACTGAAAGAGGGACTGAGGGCTTATTTTTCTTAAGATCTGTTATGTAATTTCTTACGTTATGCCAGCTGGGTGCCAGACAGATCAGGTCCCAGTTCTGCTCAGAGTGGGAGCTAGAGAAGCAAGGAGCAGTGAAAGGGTTTGATCCTTTTGCCCAGCCATCTCGTAGACAGGCTGGTAGGGCTTCCTGTGGCTGTGAGAGGGGCCTTAAAGATAAGTTTAGTGGAAAAACGGCACCTTAGTTCATGCAAAGGCAGCTATTATCACATTTTCACGTAAATATCTGGGTATGCTTTATGTAAAGAGCAAGCCCCAGCATTTAACCTTACCAAATGACTTTCAAGCTTCGGATGTGCAGTGGCTTTCCTTCAGCAAGATTCATAGTGGAGGTGATTGCAGTTCTTACCTCATAGGCCCATATCTTAATAATGAGATTGTTTTCTAGGCTTTGGCTCCTGGCAAAAATTAACCTAGAGCTAACTAAGGCAACTCCTTAGTTATCAAAAACAAACATGGGAAGTCTTGTGCTCTGGTCTGGACTGCCTTCAACATAAGTCAAGCACAAGACTGCTCAGCCTTTGAAGACAGCGACTTTCCAGGGGAGCCTCTGACCCTCACAGACCTTCCTGAGCTAGGCTAAGCATGAGGATCCCCTTCCCATGGGTCCTGGCAGTATGCACCTACATGATAGTGCAGATGCTATAAAGATAGCATCTTGCTTGCCTAATTTCTCTACCAAAAGCAAAACTCAAGTATTGAATGTTGCTACTAAGTGAGTCTTGGGAGAAATGGTGACCCCAGCTCAATTTCAGGCAGTCTGCAGATATTAAAAAAATTACAGAATCACAGAATATTAGATATTGGAAGGGACCTGCAGAGACCATCTAGTCCAACACCCCTGCCAGAGCAGATCACACAGGAACGCATCCAGAAAGATTTTGAATGTCTCCAGAGACAGGGACTCCACCAACTCTCTGGGCAGCCTGTTCCAGTGCTCTGTCACCCACAAAGTAAAAAAGTTCCTCCTCATGTTTAGATGGAACTTCCTATGTTCAAGTTTGTACCCATTACCTTGTCTTTTAATAGCTCAGATGGCATTTTTATTCCTGACTATTAAATTAGGCAAAGAGAAAGCACGTGAAAATTTTATGTGGCGCAAGGCAGCCCTGACTTCTGTGCAGTGAAGTTAGGCCTGGCATACCCAGAGTGAGACAAGTTATCCTTTCTCTGCTGCTGCTGCTGGCAGAGCCAGCTTGGGGAAGGCAGTGACCCCAAGGCAGCCAGAGACTCAGACCTGCTCGTGTCTGCTTGCACAGTGAGACGCAGGACTGGTGCAGCAGGCTTGACTGAACTGGGAGAGGCTGGGTGATGTGGGTGCTGAGCATCTCGTGGGGCTGCGGGCTGGGTGAGTGCTTGTGTTGGTGCCTGTCTCCTGCTACAACTGCAAATCAATGCTCTAAAAAAGCCAGATTTCTCCCATTTTGACTGTTGTAACTCTTTTCTAGGAACTCAGACTCCCTGCTCAAGCCAGTACTGCCGATGGTAAGAGCCTGTGAAAACTGGTGTAGGTACTGGTGGTGGTGAGTGTTTCCCAGAGAGCTGTCCATTGACAGCCACCTTTACTGTCTCTTCTTCCTTCCTGACATACCAGGCACCACTCCACTCTTGTCTCCGTTCGCCACTTAGCCCCTCTCTCAGAGTTCAACCCTGACACCCTGCGACCTTGCTGGGATAGCAGGTGACCAGCGTGGGGTATCCCTCCAAAGAGATGGGAGTGACAACTAAGCCCTTCCTCTTCACATATGTCTCTTTCAGAGCCTGATTTTTAAAGGAAACAAATCATGTACTGTCCCTCTGTCGGCCTCTCCATCTGTCCTCTTCACCTTGCCACCTTTAACACTTTCACAAACCAAATATAGCAGGGAGGAGAGCCTTTCAAAGATACTAAATTCTTGCAATGTCTGTAAAATGGGTATGTATCTAAGGAGGAGAAAGGGGAAAATTTGGATGAAAAAGTCACAGCTTGAGTTTGACCTCTTTTAAAAAGGCTTCAGGCCTGTGAGCGGGGTCATTCATACCTGCCCTGCGGGAATGACATCACTCTAGTGCTTGCACCCTATAAAGCACAGAAGTTTATTGACATCCATAGAGACCCAAAGCGGATTCCTTTTGATTTCTGTCAGGATATCTTCATAGACACAAGGGATATTACACTTCAAATCTGATTATGCCTCTATTTCAACCCACATTTCAGCCTGTCTAGCCCATCTACCGTCTCTTGTTGCCCTTCTTCACTGTGAACCATACAAATTGCCAGCACTGGGCCAGTCCATACTGTTCTCTCACCAGCTGCTTGCAAAACCCTGTGGCTGAGAGGCTGTTATTTATAGCAGCACAAACTCAATGCAGGTCTTTGAAGCCAAAGGTGTAAAGCTGCTTCAGGAGAAGAGGAAGTGGAGTCCTTTCATTGTGAGTCATTTTCTAGCCCGCAATTAAGCCCCATTAGAGAGTTAGTGTAAATGGTGGCTTGTTATCTCTTTCCACTGACAAGCTGTCAGTTTATTTGGCTGTTGTCATTAGCCAATGTTTTGACTTTGATGAATTATGGTACCCACAATTTCTGTTCTTGCTCAGGCATTTGGGCCTCATTGGTGTGAATTATCTCACACAGAGCTGAAAGCATCGAGGCTTAGGCTTAGATATTTTTGGTGAGGCTTCATCTTAGATATTTTTGGAAACTTTATAATGTCAAGGATATCTCCCCTTCATGTCCAGTAGATCCCCTCACTGGAGGTTGAAAAAAAATCACTTAACCATTGCTCAGGTACAGTCAAGCCTGCCTTGGGGTTGAGAAGATACAAGAGAAAGGAAAAATCAACTCCTGCTTTAATTTCTTGGTTCACTTGAATCTTCACATGGCCTGAGCCAGTCTTTTCAACCGAGGACCATAAATAAGGAACAGGCTTTGGATCTCTGTCTCATGTATTAACTTCCTGAACTCCAACCTTGGATGTGTTCAGTTGTCTTCCTCAGGCTCTGAGCTGCTTTTTCCTGGTTGTACTAAGTGATAACATCCAAACTATGCTTCTTCCTTTGTTGCAGTAGCTGTTGTTCCTCACTCTTAGCCCACTTTACTTTTGGGGTGTTAAAGCTACAGCCTTTACTGTACATTCCCTACCCTCTCTAAAGTGCTGTTTGCATCTGCAGACTTCTGCCTCCAGTTGTTTTGTAACTGAATTATTTATGTGCATATTTTGTCTTTGATCCAGGATGTACCAAGACAGAACCAGGACAGCTCCTATAAGGCTCTCTTCCTAAGATACGCTAAGCAGGTATTCTACCTAAAACAGCTTGCTTAAAAATAAAAAAAGGCATGTGAACTTGCAAAAAGAAAAACTGATCTATGAGGCTGATACAAATCCTTTAAGAATTTTGGGGGGGAGGGGGCAGAAACGTAGCTCCATCCTTAAGTGGATACCCTGAAAAGCATATTGATTGACCTGCCAAAACCCCCAGAAAAATGGAATGTTTCAATTGGGATAGATTGGATAGCCCCATTTATCAGCAGAGGATAGAAGATTTGTGGTTGTGCTGCTGATGGGCTTGTGTGTGTACTTTTTTTTTTTGGCTTTGGTTTGTTTATTTACTGAAAGCAATTAGAAAGCCTTGAGTATACCCCCTCTCATCAGCATCATTTTCCATTTGCCTTCACAGCATTTGGAAACCAGACATCAGTCAGCATTTGAGTAATTGATTCCTGCTCTTTCAGAGCCAAACTCTGTGTGTTCGCAGGAGATGCTTTTAATGGTTTAATAAACTGTTATAAAGAACTTCTTGACTTAGTCAAGAGGAAAAAAAAATCACTGCCAAAAGTCTTTGCACAACAGACCTCTTGAGTTAATGGTTATGTCAATGCACGAAGGTGAAAATGAACACGGGCTGCCACGCTGAATGCCCTGGGAATTTCTCAGGAGGAAGGCGGTCAGGTTGACCAACGAGTAGGTCAGAAGGAAACAGGTAGTCACACCTGTGCTCCCAGCCCACTCACACAGCTGCCCACTGTGCCTGCCCATGGGTAGCTACCCACCTAGGGGCTGATGAAGCCAGTGAGTGTTCCCATTGCTGCTGAGGAAACTCCACAGTGATGAGAGTGCCTGTAACTCCCCTGCAGACTCTTGTAGGGAAGGACAAAGAGTAGCCCAGCAGTGTGGAGGGCTTCGTTATTCTCCTAAGGGGTTGCTGCTGCCCCTCTGGTATAAACTGAGGTCTTTCTTTGTTGCCACAGTGCATCAGTAAAGAAACTTTGGGCAGAAGTGACACAGAAGAAAACTTTAAGCTCACAGATGTCTCTTTGCATTTTATTCTGCTTTAGGACTCAGCTATTGATGCCTCACAGCTGCAACAACTCCTTAATGAAGTGATCCTGCAAGGTAAAGCTTTTACAACCCAGTTAATGCCTTTGGTGCTTTCCTATCCTTAGTCTAGTGTAAATTAGAGGATTAGTGGTGTCCTGACAGCCCTCAAAAAATCTTCGGTGTGGCTTACTGCATTGTTGGATCTTAAAGAATAAGAAGTTCCTCCACCAGGGTTCCTTTACCTGCAGTTTGGGTTTATTTTTTAAAGAAAATCAACATAATATTCACATGAAGAGGGCAATGCTGCCCAGACTAGCTGCTAACAGACTCTTTAATACATGCAATACGTGTGCATCTGCTTGACACCCCAATTTCACCCTCCTCTCACCTTCCTAGTTCTGTCAAGCTTCGTAGACCTGCCCTACCCCATACTCACTTCTGGATGTCCCTACAGTTCCCATGAGCACCTATTCCTGCTCCCTGCACCAGTGAGCTGTCACCTGATTTCTTCCACTTCAGCTCTGGCCTGGATCACTCCTCTGGTAGAAACCTCAAGCTGGCTTTCAGCATTTCCCAGGCTTCCTAACCTGCCCACCTCGAAAATAGCATGAGGGCACAGCCAGAGGGCTTGAACCGACTCAGTCATGCACAAGGCTGAAAATGCTCTTAGGACTTGCTCATTCGGTATAAATGACCCTTCTTGTCACTGTCATTTTGCTTTATCCTTATTTTAAGAGAGAAGAATTTCCATCAGGGCGGGTCGGTGGGCAGACACTGTGCAGAGCAGCTACCTGTGAGCCCAGACAGGGCACCTGTGTTTGGGGAACAGAGCAGTAGAGATGACAGAGAAACATGAGACACCCTCTGTGGACCTCAGCCTGGCTTGTAGCCTTTGCTCTTTGAGAACCTGAGCCAGATCTGGGACTTTTTAGCTGTATGAGCTTTCAGACTGGTGTCCTCCTTCCCTCTGAATGCCTCTGTTAGCCCCCTTGCTCTTGTTAATTCCTTCTATTTTGTCAATCCTTGCAGATGAAATGACCAGCCTGGGAGGAGAATTCAGCTTCGATTCATGCAGAGGCATTTTAGCTCTGATGGATGTATCCTTTCATCAGAAGCAATAAACTTCCTTGGTGTTGCCCATCCTTGCCTTGAGTTATAGCTGGGCTGAGCGTCCCAGTGTGAGAACCTGCAAACAAATATCAGCTGCGGTCTTCAATAAATAACTGTCCCAGACTCTGTGGAGGACTTTACTATGCATGCCCTGGCTCTGGTGTCTCCACTGAAGGGTGAGCATCAACCTACTACCACCTAACTCTTTGCTTTCGTTTTCCCCTTTGCAGGGCTTGGCTAAGCTTAACCCTTGAGTGCAGATCCTAGGCAAAGCCCAAGGCAAGAAGGTACCACAGAGCTCAGACATAGCTCAGCAATCCCTATGAAGATGGATCATGCAGTCTTTTTACTGTTAACAAGACAACACTGGCTATTGTAGAATGAGAGGACTCTTCAATGAAAACAGAAGTTCTCCCTCACATGTTTTTTCCGCCTTGCTTGCTCACTGTCTCTTTTCTTCCAATTCTCAAAATAAATCTGAGATATTTCCAGACCTTTACAAGCTGCCAGAGAATGAAAAAAAAAAAAGATGACAAGTCCCTCTGTCATTGCAACTTTTTGCATCTAGCCAGTGAGAGAGACTTTTCCCCCTTTCTAAAGCCCTTCCTGGGCTAAGTGGGTGCATGAGACTTGCAAAGAACTGACAAAGCCACTGCTCCCCTTTAGCTCACGACAGGTTTTTCATTCTCTGGGCTGTGTACAACCCAAGTACAGTGTGATCTGTCCTGGCCTGCAAAGATAATCAACATTTTTTTTCCTCTCAGGTTTCATGGCAGTGGCTTTTGTCTACTTACATTTTACTGGTGATGAGTTTTTCTTTCAGGGAGTTTTCACCATCCCAGGTGCATTAGGTGAGGTGCCACATGTCTGCCCAAGACTCTTAGATAGTGTGTGGAGGGGAGCAGGTCCACTGCCACAGTCCTTTGAGCATCCCTGGGGAACGTGTCCTGATGCCTGTGGGATCCTGTAGCTCGTGGCGGAAAAGTGTTTTCTCACATGTGGCACATGCACGTCTCAAAAGGTGCTGCTGCCTTCTGAGAGCAGGCATCAGAATTGTCTCCTTGCACTCTTGGCTCCTTCAGTGCCTGTTCCTTCGGGAGGATCCAGCCAGAGCTAATACTGTGCTGCCTCATGCACACACATGGCCTGGAGCATGGGGTCATGTTCATCCACAGGGGCCTCTGTGCTTGGTGGCTAAATGTCAACCGAAGAGGCCACTGCAGCTTCCCTTGTGGTTAAAGGCATCATATAAATAAACCTTTTGCTGTTTGTGAGCACAGGTGCGAGCAGCTGTACAGCGTGCCAAAGAAGGTGACTTAAACTCTCAGCATAGTTTAGAGCAGAAAATCTCTTGGCTTTCTTAGCACCAAGTAACAGAGAGAAAAGACGGCATATTATGTCTTTGTGTCAAGGCAACATCTTGAGGAACAAACAGATTTAACTCTCATTAACTGTTCAATTCTTAACTAAATGCACAGCTCAACTCTAATGGACGACTGACGCTGCGGGAGTTCAGGAGCCTCTGGCGAAGTCTCACCAAGTACATGGTACATGGGGGCTGCTGCCTCTTCTCCGCTGGGCTTTCCATCAGCAGGGTGCAGATGCTCTGAGATATCAAAGTGCTGGGGGAAAATATGTTGCAAAGGTTGCTTGCTTAGTGGGTCAGATTTTCATCCTCTTAGGCAAAGGTTGAGAGCTCAGGAAGTAGTGATGTATGTAAAGTACTCTAAATAAGCAGCCAAGGGAGGCTTTGCTAGCACAGGGAATATTGATGAAAAGGTGGGAGAAGTTAGCAATTAAGCTCAGAATTTGACGGAAATCTCAGTTTGTGTGCCATCACTACCAATGTTTTTAAAAGCTCTCTAAGCTGAAATGAGTTTTTGAACAGAGTCATCTGAAAAATGTCACTTCCTCATTGCTGCAGTTCGTAGTGGAGATGTGTAGGATCCAATGAAGGTTTATCTGGGAGAAGTATCTCTGCTCCAGGATAAGCATATAGGTCTTCAAGCACTGAAGACAGTAGCTTGGCATTTAAATTCAGAGGCAGCTTCTCTGTGTTGGGTCCTTCTCCCTCAGTCTTGGGGCAGAACGGAAAGATTTCCTGAAGCCTTAGGGCTGGGTGAGATCTACTTTGTTTCATCCCTCTTGAGATTGTCTGAGGCCACTTAGGCCGTGGGGTGCCAGGTTCCCCCATCTAAGAGTGGTGTTCTTTCCCCTGACAATACCTCAAGTGTGGCTTGGGGGATTTCAGTGGTGGCCTGGGAAAGGTGGCCCCACACCATTCTGAAACTTAGGAACTCCTGGCTTATTTCACATGTTATAGACAATATCAGATTTTCAGTGGAGGTGAGATTGTTCCTATTGCTGGGTGCATACATAAATCAGGGAGAGGGAGTAAAAAGGCTTTGTCCCACCCAAAATGGCGGGATGTCTTACACAGTAACATCCTGTCTGAGCCTTTTGGAAATGGGTCTCCCTTGTCATGGTGACCCCATCTGTTGAACATCCTTGCAGCCTGTTTATTAAGGAGGGAAAGCAACCTACATAATCAGATGTAGTAGTAAACTTGGGGAGTCTTGATAGGGGCTTGAAATCTGCCTTTACACTGTTTTTTAGGATATCTTCAGTGAAGAAAACAGAAATCATTCTGGATTTCTTGATGTGTCTGAACTGAAGAGTGCAATACAGACAGCAGGTGCGTCCATAGGGGCCGAACAGCTCCTTTTCTTGTCCCTGTGGCAGTGAAGGCAAGAATGAATAAGAGAGAGCAAAGAAAAAAGACCTTCAGGGAGAAAGTATTTCTGATTGCACAGAGGTGCCAATTAGATCACAGCTCTGCTCAGAGGTCTGCGCTGGTTTAGGGCATTGAGACAAAAAGCTTATTTCAGGAAGAAGCCCAGGGAGCCAGCAGAGAGATGCAGAGAAGTGCAGCACTGGCCAGAGCCCCCAGACTGGCTTATCTGTAGTCTCTCTAGGTCATGGATAAAACATTCAGCAGAGGAAAGGAGCAAGGAACAGTCAATGCTTACACTTGCCCCAATTTCTGCAGTTTCTCTCCAGGGCAGTGACTCAGTCTATAAGGGAAAGCCACAGTGACAGGATTTTATTTAGTTTGCACTGACCTCTGTTGGCTACACGAATGCTGAAACTTGCAGTGAGCGTATGAGACCCCTTCATATACGAGAGAAGCATTTTAGGTGGGTCATCTCCCTGGAGACTTTGTGCATGAAATATAGCTCTGCGCAATCCTTTTATAATCATACAGTAGAGAAGCTCCCATTTGGCTACCTGAAGCCTGAAGGGATGTTGTCTCTGGGAGGAACATGGTGCAGAATTGCTATCCATGGAAGCCATGAGCTCAGGAGACACACGTGCAATTTTTTTGTTGTTGCTGAGAGGTGGGCAGAGCATTAGCATTTGCCTCAGGAGCACAGCACTAATATGCCAAGATGTCAAAGGAGAAACTGCCAGATCCATTCTATAAGAAAGGCACTAAAGTGTAAAACTGAAAATTGTACGTTGAGAAGTCCTCACAGCCAAAACAGTGCAGCTATTTGAAGGAATAAAAAGTCACTGTTAAATGGCAAATTCAGAACTCATTAGGCTGAAGCAGTTCTGAGGAGGGGGTAGAAAGGAAATTATAAGATCGTTCCTGACTTTTTCTGAGCCAGACAGCTGCATTTGAATCTGGCTTTGCATTAGGGTGATCCTCATCCTGGCTTTTAAGCAGGAAGGAGCGGACAGCCCCAGAAAGCGTTTGGGAGGCTGGTACTACCTCTGGGAATGACAGCAACGTATCTAAATACAGCTCCTAGCCAGCTCTTCCCTGAAGTGTTTGATGCTTTCCCCAGCAAAATATGGGACTGTGTGCTTAATTCTCACTGTTGTCCTAATGCTTCAAAGCATGGTAATGATGGGTCAAGTTTTCTGCTAGAATAAAGCAGGATAGCTGCATTAACAGCAGTGCTCCCCTGAACTGCAGGAGCATTGGCCCGGTGTATCCACAAACTCATCACTGGCAATATTAAATGCATCAAAATAATTATTTAAAAAAAAAAATCAAACCATAAAGGCTGTATTTTAAAACTTAGCTAAAACCAGTGTTAGGAATCCAGCAGACAAAAGATGTGGGTAGTAACCTTACAAATAAGCAACAGCACATACCTGAAACATTTTCAGAACAGAGGGGAATGATACTTCAGTCTTGTTGATGACGTTGATTGAGAGACATCGCCTGTTGAGCAGATTTCAGAGAAAGTGTATTGCAGGCTGACCATGCTGAATTGTCGGTGTTTTACTAGTGCTAAGACACAACTATATCACCTTGTAAGCAGCACTGCAATGCTTGCTAAAATCTGCTCTCTAGAGAGAGCTTAAGTTCCCACTGCCATCAAAAGGTTAAAAATGAGGTAGTGTTCGCTGCTTGCTACTGCAGGGGTTTAAAACCAGAATATGAGAAGAAATTTCACCATTTAGATTTTTTTAATTACTAATTTTTCCTTCTAGAAAAAAGAATTTAAAATCACATTTATCTTAATTCGAAATATATCTGAAGTCCAAATGTATTTCCACAGTTTAAATAATCAGCATTTTGTGTCTGCTTCCTGCCAGAGACCTTCTCCAACAAGGCTCATGCAACCAGTTTGTTGATGTACTAATCCACCTCCATTGCCTGTATCTCCCCCTACAGAGGCATAGGGAAACCATTTCCTCCTTCTCTACTTGTTCAACTAATCTAGCTCCATGAGGAATTCATTTAAAAGTGAAAAGTATAGAGCTGGTTGCAAAAGCAGGAAAGTTACTTCTCTTCCAGCTGAACCACTAAAAACTAGGGGTGAACAAATGAGACTTTAGTTCTAAAGCTTCAGAGAATGCATTAAACTGAAACTATCAGTCCAGCTCTCCGCCGAAAATTTCTCTTTTGTTTAGCAAATCAGCTTTTAGTGCAAAATATATTTAAATCATTCCTCTTATATAGCCAGCACATTGAGGGTAGCTTTATTTAACTAATAAAAGAATAATTCTAAAAGGCAATTTTTGTTCATTCAATTGAATACCAATTTCCATCCAAACAGACTGTGACACAAATACTGAATAATCAGCTAATAAAAATGATATGCACCCTTCACCATTTTCTAATAGAAGAGAAAATGTAAAAATTAAGAATAGCAGGCATGCTACCACGCGCGTTAGCATGAGCGCGCGCGGTATCTCCCCATTTAGCAGAAAGCTCCCGTGGTATTGTAAATGCCACACTCAGACTTTAACAGTTATGAGCCAAAGAAAATCATCCTTTCTTATAGAAAATAAAAGCTAAAAAGGCAAAGCAAGATAACACTAGATTAGCTAACTCAGTTTTTCCTGCTTGCTGACTGAAGCCCCAGTTGAATAAGTGACTAAAAGGAGTTGGATTTTCTGTGACCCTACCCTGACTCTTACGCACCAACCTGGGGACAGGCAAGCTACTGTCAGGGGATGCAGAGACACCGTATGACAGGCTGGGCGGCTGAGAGAGGGACCCAGCTTCTTTGCGGAGCTCGCAAAGCCATCAGAGCTGGTCCCCAGTGTTGTGTTGTCCCTCTTTCCTCCGCAGGTCTGGCTGCTGATGAGCAACTCCTGCGCCTGATGGCCTTGCGCTACAGCGATGCCACCGGGAGAATTGGCTTCTCTGACTTCGTGTGCTGCATGTTTCGCCTTGAAACCATGACCTGTGAGTCTCAGCACCGGGGCCTGGGGTTGGGCAGGGGAATGTGGTGCCAAGGGAGCTTGAAAAGCCAGCCTGAGGGCAGTGGCCGGAGGCAAGTAACACGGTGCTGGGCATGATAATACATGTCTAACAGCGTAGCTTGGAAATAACAAACTACAGTCCAGGCATGGTCTGGACATCCCTTTGGGCCGCCTGCTTGCCAGGAGCCAAATTCATCTCCTGCCCGCAAGAACGTCTGGCTAGTAGAGGGTAGTTTAGTGCTGAGAGAAAGCAGCAGCTGGGAACACAGTGATGCCCTCACTGAAAGAGGCCAGAAGGAAGGTCGGCCCCCAGCTTCCTATCAGAGCTCATCAGAGTGCCTGTGGGTTGCAGCAGCACCATGCTGCCCTGTGTTTTCCCCTGCTGAGAAGCGATGATAATGTATAGCCAGAGCTCCTGCCAATCCTTATTTGCTGCCTGGATTTAGCCTGGCCCCTGCAGGCTTGTCCTTAGGCCCCCTCATGCACTAAGACCCATTTTCTACAAACAAGATACGTCCTTGTGCTGATACCCTTCCACATGAGCTTGAGCATCCTGGTCCACAGCAGAGCTTCTTCCAGGGTGATGTGGAGCATTGCTGGGACCACGGAGGGGAGACTGCATGCATTCATGCCCATTGAAGAGGAATGAGGCAACATATCTCAAGTGAAAGGCTTTCTCTTTTGGTTAAAATTCAGAGAAGTCTGATCACAGGAAGGGAGGTGCTGCTTCTTTTTTTTAAAAAAAACTGAAGAGATATTTTTCCCACTAACTTCAGTAAACTTCTCTCAGTTTTTCTGGTAAGGAGAAAGCCTGAGATCCTCCTCAGTGGATAAACAAACCCATGGCCTGTGTTGTGTCCAGTTGTTGTCTTGTGGTTGCAAGGAGGGAGCTTCTTTAAATAAGGCTTTGCCTGAAGTAAATGGAATTCTGGTTTACAAAAGCATAATTTTTACTACTCTAATAAGAAGAATTTTGACTGGAAATTGCTAGTTTAACAAACCCAACAGTTGTGACCCACGTGCTAGAACACTGCTACAGCAATTTAGTTTGTCTTTGGAATGAGCTGGGTTTGAACAGTAAATGAGTGTTCATTTTTTCCAGTGTGTTTTTACCACTGATGTTTTATGGGCTGGTGGTGGTCAGTGGATCTGCCTGGATGACGCTGTGCTTGAAACCTATTTCAAGGGAATACAGCAGAAGCAGCTCATGAAGTCAGAGCACGTCCTGATTTTAATGCTTTCATTTAAAAACGGATAACTTGTAAACACCTATTTTTTGTGATTATACATGTCACTTGCTGTAGATGAAAATTCTTACGCCTGAACTAGTACCATGGCATTATTTTTTTTTTTGTCTTAAAAAACATCCTCTTACATTTTAAGTGCCGGTGTCAAGGCAACTCCCTTACACCCATGTGGAAAGGAATCTCTAAAACTTCCATTGCTGTCTGTAAGCACCATCTTAAAATGCTTTCAACTCTTTCAGTTACCAGTTTACAGAGGGTTTCATGTGGAACATGTTTTTCAAACTTTTCAGATCACCATGAGCGGGGATTTCCTTGTTCTATACCTTACTTCAGAGCAGTGTAGGCTGCTTCATCGTCTTAGCTTTCCTTTCTGCTTTCTTTCTGCTCTGAATCATATACATAGCTCTGGTTGTCTCCTAAGGGGCAGATGAGCAATGTGCCCTTGTGCCACACTCTTGCAGCAAACTTCCACTTTTTTTCTAAAGCCGGACATGTTTCAAAACATTCATGACCTTAGAATGCCTTTTCCATTTAGGGTGTGAAACAGGCTCATGGAGAAATGTGCCATTTAAGGATAGGCAGGCTTGAATTTTTTTCAACTTTTTATTACTGTTTATAATAGCACATTTCTAGGAGAAAAGTAATTTCAAAATAAATAAAAAGAACTCAAAACACTATATTTGACTTTATCCAAACACTTGGGTTTGAACGTTTCTCCTAGACAAACTGCAATATAAATGTGCACATAGAATATCAATATTTGAATGGATTTAAATTTTCTGATGGCAAAGTGTTCTCTCAGGAAACTTTCAGCAATGTTAATTTCAAACTCTAGCTGAATAACAGCAGCATCTGCATTTATATTCCCTGGAAAAATCTTGCAAGGCATACTAACGACTTCAAAAGAATCACTTTCTTGAGGGCACACTGTGATCACTCACTGCTGGGGAGGACGGAAAAGGACCAACAGAAAGTTTCCCTGTGGGAAGATGTGTTTCATTAGTTCACTGTTCTCCTGTCAGTCTTCAGGCAGGAGGTACAACTGCAACAGATTATGAGAGGAGATGAAAGCAGTCGCAGTGAGCACTCCCTGCGCTTCTGCCAAGTTCTGGCCCTGCAATCGGGATGCCTTCCCAGGCTGTGATCCAAGGGCCGAGGGGTACCCAGCACAGAAGTGGGATGTGGCTAGGCAGGACAGCATGGGTGGACACTTGAGCCAGGCTGAGCACAGGCATTGCAGCTCTGCTGCTCAGATGCCACAGCTTTATGTCTGCTTTTCATTCTTGCTTCCTCCTCGTAAAATCAGATTTTTTCTGTGCTCTACCCCTAGATGCATTTCAAAACTTAGCAGAAGGCAAATCACAAATGTTGGTGACGGAAATGGAGGTAAGAATGCTCCTTCATTTTCTTCTCTCCAGGTCTAAAGTGGGACCACTCTGTATGTTAGCAGGAGGGTGAAGTTAAAGATGACGTGTGATGTATGCTGCCAGGGGTTTTGCCTGGCTGGCCGTGCATAATGGGTGGGAAGTATTTCCCTGGGGTTCCCTGGCCCCACTCACGCAGCCTCGCTAGGGTGAGCACAGCTCAGTGGTGGCCATCCACGTCCAAAGCACAGAGTTTTCCTTTAGTGACGCCAGCCTGTCACTGCTGGAAACGTTGCTCAAAGTGACTTTGAGGAAGTGACAAAAAAAAAAAATCATGCCCTCATTTCTTACTGCCCCATCTGTCAATTCTAAATTGCAAAACATCTTGATTTTAAAAAAGAAATAGCAGGCAAGTACTTGCTGCTGCTGTGTGTCTTAAAAGGGCAGCCTGAAGGATAGCTAGCTGAATGGGGATACATCAAGCTTTTTATCAGCTGCTCTGAAGCAAAAATTCTACTGTGCTCCATAGTGATATGCCTGAGTGCATCATTTCATCAGTCTGGAGACTCTTATTTGACAACATGCTGTTTAAAAAGATTTTTTTTTAAAAAAAAAAGGTTTTACAATCTTGCTGGCTCCTGTTTACATTCTGTGGCTAGTTCAGTGCTAGTTCATTACACGTTTTCCACCAAGGGCTGAGCAGAGTTTCCAAGCAGAGGCCCTGAACCTGCTTTATGGGGTAGAATAACCGTGTTCCCAGAGCGTGCTAGCCCTTCCACTTGCAGTCATGTAGGGGCCATATTTTCCCAGCAATCGCTCCTGCTGCAGCTGCTGCAACAATTTATCATGGAAAGCAACATATGGAAAGTGTTTCTGGGCCTGAATTGTATTAAGGAAAAAGGCAGTTCCAAAACCCCTTAACTACTCTGTGCAGAATAAAAGGTACAGCGACACATGTCTGAAGAGTTGGTGTAACACCACTGTCTAAATGCACCTTTTCTTCTCCTTTTTCTAGTGGCTGACTCTTGTCATGTACACCTAAAGAGATGTCAGAGCTCAGTGTGGCTGGTAAGAAATCCCCTTAGTACGACGTTTTTACAGTGCCCAGAGAGAATATGAGTGGGGGCCACACAGAAAGCTCATCCTGGAGCTATAGTGGGTTTTGAGAGGAAGAGAAAGGTGAGAGCTGCAGCATGAGCAGGGCTGGAGAGGAGCTGCAAAGAGAATCAGCGTTATTTTTCTGGGGAATTACTGACAGCCTTGTCAGTTGCTGAGACCACCAATGGCTCAGTCCTTCGACCCCTGTTCCCACCAGAGGTTATGCATTTTCAATAGATCCACTAGCAGAACTTATCTTTTTTCTCTTCCTCTGAGGGATTCAATTACTCCTGCATATCTTACATAGCTGCAGGAAATGTAAAGCCAAGTAGAGGTTGTGGATATGAAGCCACTAAGATTTCCTGTTCAGCTTGATTTCACGTTTTTAACTGAATAACATAGTTTAGTTCACCTTTGAACAAGAGTTCCTACCTTGTGATTCATTTGATGTTTGCTCCCTTCATGTCAAGCTTGGAGAAGGGCTTTGTAGCCCTGAATTTTACCTGGACTTTCCAGTTTTGCTACTTAGTTCTCATGAAGGACTTGGACATTTCCTTCAAAACTTACTGTCTTGTCCATCATGCTTCTGCTAAACCACTGGGATGCAACTGTTCCCAGTTGCAATGGCAAAGCACTACTGCTCATCCCAAATACTATGTTTGGGAGGAGAAAACTGAGGAGAAAACAGGGAGGGAAACTCAATCCTTAGAGAAAACATGCAGTGGAGAGCCAGCAGCCTCCTGCCATTGCGTTGTGGTTGACTCCAGGAACTCATGGAGCACCCTTGCGCAAAGTCACAGACTTTCCTTATCAACCCAGTTCAAAAATGGGGTGAAAAACCAAAAAACCCAGGACCTTCACTGAAAACCAGGGATCACATCCAGATAATACTTCCTACAGATGTCAATTACAGTAATAAATAATACATGAGCAGCACCTCTAGTATCTCATGTCCTGTTTATGAAGGCAGTTGACATTGGATGCCAGCTTTGGTGAGAAGTTGAAAGGGGAAATTATAGAATCATAGAGTGGTTTGAGTTGGAAAGGACCTTAAAGATCATCTAGTTCCAACCCCCCTGCCATGGGCAGGGACATGCTGCCCCCCCCCCCTGCCATGGGCAGGGACACCTCCCACTAGACCAGGGTACTCAAAGTCCCATCCAGCCTGGTCTTGAACACTTCTAGAGATGAGGCACCTGCAGCTTGTCTGGGCAACCTGTTCCCATGTCTCACCATCTTTGCAGTGAAAAACTTCATTACTTCTTGTCCTGTTG